AAGCAGCTGTGTTAAGACCAGGAACTAGGATCTTCCTTTATCCCACCCTTTCATGTGCTACAACAAATCTCTCTTATCTTTTCTAGCCCTAGCATTAAGAGGGGAAGAGAGGAGGAGACATTCCTTTGAGAATGAAATGTTTACCACTTGATAGGTGATAATTGCTTCATAGCAATAAGGGTAGATTGTTCTCTAAGCTGTTTTACCATTTGTCTCTATGTTTGCATGTTACCCCAGGGTGGCTTTGCTATTATAAAGAAAAATAACACTAAAAAGAGCTAAAACTTTTTGCCATCTGCCAACAATATCTCATTTTGGAAATCAGCCTGAAACACAAGATAGTTTGCTAATTGTGTCAAGGATTATGAATGGGATTGATACATATAATTTCATGTCTTGTGCTAAATGGTATAATAAGTTGGCTGTGAACATTGGGACATATAGGGGGGTTTTCAAATAAAAAGCTGACACATAATTCCAATATTGCCTCACAACCAAGCCAAAGAACTTCTGAGCCTTTAGCTTTTTATCAGCATTTATCTGGAAGCTGTGAAGTTATAACACTAACTAAACAAAATGTTACTGTAGCAAAAGAGCAAGGGATTTGTTTCTGTGTGGCAAGTTTCTGGAGCAAATATACAAATATAGAAGCAAACTATCTATGATAGCATATGTTGGGCTGCCATGCCAAAACTAATATACAAAGAGCAATGCGCAATGGTTAAGCTGTCTTAAAGATAAAGCCAAGCATTCTATAGAACAACATTACAAAGCGTTTGCCTGAGTGTACGTTTAAGTTCTGTAATAGTGTATTATGCTTGCCTAGTTTTATATATGCTTTTTATCTCTGCTGGAGAAATGTCTCACTACATCCATCTGTTTAAAAATATGTCATATAAACCTCTTTGCCAACAAAAGTATAATGGAGCCCTCGTTTTTCTTCCCAATTGAAGAAACAATACAGCTGAATTATATTAATTCTTTACACTTCCTTTTCTCTCAGTGTAGCTTGCAACTTGATATCCCAGAGTAGTATTTTACTGTTGCAGATTAATGACAATTTGATGGTTAAGTCAGTGAATTGAAACATGTAAGACATGTATCCCACTGAAGTGTATTGAGGTTTGGGAATCAGGGGGCACACTGCTTTAGTTGCTCAGGTTCTGTCTTTCTGGTATGTTCCAGATAGAACATTGAGGGTCACTACTTCTTCAAAATAAGAGGGTGCCTTCTATACCAGTACTGTTTAACATCTGCATGAAACTGCTGGGACAGATAATCTGGAGGCATGGTCCAGGATGTTATCGGTTTATCAATGACACCAAAATATCCTTCTCAATGTGTTTAATTTTTTTTTGGCTCAGGAGCAACTTCAGAAACTGTAAGTCACTTCTGGTGTGATAGAATTGGCTGTCTGTAATGACGCTGCCCATCTGCTCCCTGCATTTGAATCACTGACCTTTTAGTTAGCAGTCCTGCCAGCACAAGGGTTTAACCCACTGCGCCACTGGGGGCTCCTTCCATGTCCTTATAAATACCATCAATCAAGGATAGTGTGTCTCCTCTGAATAAATGCCTTGAATAGATAATGGGCTGGATGAGGAAAAATAAACTGAAACTGAACCCAGACAAGTTCTCTTCTATTAAAGGTCCTAACTTGGGTTGAGGATAGGTCAAACAATCCTGGATGGCATTACACTCCCCTTGAAAGACTGTGTTCACAGCTTGGGAGTGCTTCTGGATTTGTTGCTTCAAATTATACCCCAGTTTTATTCAACAGTCAAGAGTGCTTACCCCCAGCTTCAGCTGGAGGATCCAAAGATGGTCAGGCAGGCACACACAGGTAACTTCTGCAATGAGTTCCACATTAGGCTACTTGTTTGTCACGTTTGGAAACTTTGATTAGTTCAAAATATGGTGACCAGATTGGCTATTGGTATATCTAAGAGTGATATACCAAAAACCAATCTGGCTACCATATTATGCCTAGCTACGTTGAAATCACTCCACTGGCTGCCAATTAATTTCAATTGTTACATTTAAAGCTTTCCCTGATTTAAGTCCAGATTACTCCTAGGAATCACCTTCTCCCATATTATCACATCATACAGTAAGGATATCTGGTGACATTTACTTCCGTCAGCCATGACAAAGCTAACAACTGGCATCCAAAACCATTGGCTGTGCAAAATTCAATAGCTTATTCTCCTGCATTTTTCTTGATTCTAAGATAATTTTCTTACAATCGTGTTCTGATTCCTGCTTTTGTATTCCAGTCAGCTATGACTGACACAGAATATTTCAATTTATTTTTCTTCTGCCTCTGTAGCTAGAACACAAACTTGGATTATGGTTATATTAATGGATTTTCCCTGAAGCCTTAGTGATATTGTTCAGTCAGACATTGTTGCTACTAAGAGGTTGCAACGTACTTTATCTAAGTTGTTGTAAGGATCAATGTTGTTTGTGCTGTAACTTTAAGTTGCTGTAAGGTTCAAGGCTGTTTGTGCTACAGCTGTTTCAGTTAATTGAAGAGTTAATTGAGAGTGTTATTTTTATGTGTATAAAGATAGCTACTGTGTGTTTAGTTCTTTGCCATTGTGCGTTTATGCTATTGTGCATCTATGTCTCTGTGCCGTTCTGCTTTGTGTAAGCCGGGGACTATGCTGCAGATTTCATGCGAAGACACAGCCATGAGAAGAGGACAAGGATTCCTGCTTATCTCATCTGAGTAATGATATCTCTCAGAAGATATTGTTTCATGTTACTTTTGTGGAAACAGCAATCCTGCTACTTTGTTTTTGTATGCTGCCAATACTACAATATTTTTCTTTTCTACTTTAAGCTGAAGTCTCGTATGTTTTTCTTTTATGAGCCAATTCATCACACACACAGTTAACTGGGCTAGAGTCAATCTGCATGCTACTCATGCTAACGCATGACAGACATTGCATTATATCCTTTGACCACCTTTGCTATATCTCTCCTCACTATTAATGCCATCCATTTTTTCTTAGGTTTTTATTTCCTGAATAAAATATTATGAATTATCTGAAACAAAATATCCCATTCCTGTCATTGATAGCATGGGTGAGGATGTTGAATAAGAGACCAGCTAGGAACAGCATCTCCCTCAACTACACTCAGGGCCCTTCCACACAGCCCTATATCCCAGAATATCAAGGCAGAAAATCCCACAATATCTGCTTAAACTGGGTCATCTGAGTCCACACTCAGATAATCTGGGATTTTCTGCCTTGATATTCTGGGCTACAAGGCAATGTGGAAGGGCCCTCAGAAGCAACAACTACTCCGCCTGCTGGCCAAACTCAAGAGGTTTATATGGAGCAGGCTGAGGAAGAGTTAATTGTGTCTTCCTTTGCAGATAAAAATCACAGCTGAGGCATTCAGCCAGAACCGCTGAGGGGATGGCCAGCCATCAGGATCAGCTGTGAAAGCAGAATTTAAGAGGTTGCAATGTTTGGACTGCTTCATGACTTTGGATCTGTGGATACAATTTTGTTGGGTAAAAGTTTGGTAACGGGATTGACTCAAGGCTGTTTTATGGCTCCTCTGTTACTTGTTACTGTTGAGGTTTGTTGTTACTGAGAACTAATTGGCTAACCTTGGACTGTATGACCACTTTGTTGGTGATTCCAAAGTGAGGTACTTGACAATTCCTGTCCATTCTAGCACACTCACCCTATGCATTGCAATGCTCATATGTTCCATTTCTGGTTCTTCCATGTCTAGCTTCTCCCAATTCATGCTAATCACATGCTGTGTCCCTATAATATATTTGTGCAGCTTGGGCTTTTCTCTCATCCCTGAGCATACAGTTGAACAACCTTTCAACTTGAGTCCAGTTGCTTCATTAGTCGCATAACTAAATCAGTTGTCCTCTAACCAGCAGTGTATTTGAATGCTTTCCAACCTGGGAATTTCATCTTGTGGCATATCTCTTGTTTAATTTTGAGTTGTCTCATCATGTGGTAAAATACATTCAAAGGGGGTTCAGCATACCTCACTCTGTGCAATACCAACAATGTTATCTATGGTGCCACTGTTCATGTCTCTGAGAGATCCTCTGCCATCATCAACCTCACCTCCCACAGTACTGCTGCTCCTCAGTAGTTGCTGGGCACATTTTGTCAAGTTCTTAGCAAAAGTCTGTCTGGCATAGGAAACCCTGCCAGCAGCACTGCTGCCATCAGCATAGCTTCTTGCTTCACAGGAATCCATAATCCCACCATCATGGAAAGGTAGTGCCAAGGTGGTGGAAAACAAATCACAGCTGTAGTTTCCTCTAAATCAAGATGGCCTGGCCTATTTTAAGGGATAATAAACACCTCCTGGAAATAAACATTTTTACATTTATTTGATAGTGCTGCAGTGAGCAAGCTTTTATTGTGAAATGATGACCTATTATGTACTATGATGAATGGAGTGCTTACAGCTCATTTGTGAAAAGAGTGTTTTTCAGCTGATTTTTAAAAGAATCATTGTTTATGAACATGAGGAATGGACAAGTCCCAAGGTGGGGGGAGGGCTCCATCAGGGACCTCGAAGGACTAAACCATCTTTCCTTCCACACTCCCACATCACCAAATGGGAGAAGTAAGTCTCCAGCGGCTAATTATTCCTCATTTTAATCTGAGATACTTTCAGATCCCCACACATTCTTAAAGCTTCCACCAACCCTTTTGTCAAAAAAGGAAATGAACGTCTTTGTACTTCTGTTTTGAAAAAAGTGAGGGTGTTCATATAAATGCCTCCAATTGAAATAAAATGACCACTGTAGTTGCTACTGTCACTGGAGATGAATCAATGCACCCCCCCCCTCCCTACTCTGCTCCTCCAATACTTTGAGGGAGGGATGTCTCCGAAGGGCAAGGGAACCTTGGGACTCAGAAAATTGTCTTGGCTTATTGGTTGCACTTTATCTGTTCTCAATATATATATAATCTACTATAATTAATTCACAAGATATAAGAGCTTACCTGGCTCTCCTCGCCGTCCAGGCTTTCCTCGCCTTCCTGGTGGACCTGTAAAAGGGAGAGGGAAAAATTAATTCATATCTCACTCATCCACATTTTAGAGAGAACCTTTCTATCAAGGTCCTGACCATGTAAAGGCTTGTGTCTCTTTAAAGATTAAACCAACATCATGGGATGAACCTATGGAGATCAGTATGCTATTCAAAGAGGTGTAAAGGTGTGCCACAAGCCAAACACAAAGAAAGCTTTTCATCAGGGTTATACAGTGGCTATGGTGTGACCAAACTAAAAGTTGCTTCTTAATAACAATGCATTTCTATAATGAAGTAACTCTCGTTTTAAAATGAAAATTAGGGAAAGTATTTTTTTTTCATACAAAGGAAAACAATTAAGCCCTATCAATGTGAACTAATCTTTATATGAACAGAACCCCCCGTGGTGCAATTGGTTAAACCCTTGTGCCGGCAGGACTGCTGACCGAAAGGTCGGCAATTCGAATCCAGGGAGTGGAGTGAGCTTCCGTCTGTCAGCTGCAGCTCCCCATGCGAGGACATGAGAGAAGTCTTCAACAGGATGGTAAAATATCTGGGTCCCCTAGGCAACATCCTTGCAGACAGCCAACTTTCTCACACCAGAAGCGACTGGCAGTTTCTCAAGTCACTCCTGACATGGAAAAAAAATCTTTAAATATTTATTGAAAGGACACTGAGCTATGATTTCGTAACAATTCTTTTGCAATAAAGCTTCCTCTACTCTTATTGAGATGCATGAGCCCTATCCAAATGGATTTCTGCTCATAGTGCAAACAGCCCGACAAAATCCTCTAGAAGAACAAATTTCAGTGTGTGTGTGTTGTGGTTGGAAGGATGAAAAATGTGTGCAGTATCCAGATTCCTTACCCCTTCTGCAGCAACACACACACACACACATCATTATAGCCTATAAGTCTAGTTCGCAATTTCCTTATTCAGCCAAGGAGATGTGGAATTCTTTTAAAGGTGGTGGCAGCTCCAAAGCTTTTAGAATTAGGTTCTAAACTAAGTGTGGCAGGTCAAAAATTACCTTTTTAGAGCAGACAATTCTTTCTTATAGCTGCCTTGCTTAATCTTAATTGTATTTCACTTCAGTAATAAGTACAATTTAAAAGCAGATTTAAACTTACCCAAATGCCTAAGAATGGATTTGCTCTGATGTGTCTACAACAAGAGATTGGTACTATGATTATGTGACGTCTACTATAGTTGCATCCTAGGTTGGTTTCCATTAAGCAAAAACTAGTTCGTAAGTGAAAATGTCACCAGAACAAATATGACCTAATTTTGTGAAAGCCAAAAAAGAAAAATGTGGGAAGAGTGCGGAGATAGTCCTGTTCCCAATTTTAGGGGGATGTGCAACAAAACTGGTTGTAATTTACTGCATGCAAGAATGTATAGTGTTGTTTTGTTTTTAATTTTCCCAATATTTTTTAGCCTATGATTAATGTTAAAATTGTGCTCATTTTAATGTCTTGTTTACTAGGAATTCAAAGAAAACTGGACTGACAATCATTTGATACCATAAGATAACTATATATGAACAATTTCTCATAATATTTCCGTTTCTATTACTTTCTTGTTAGTAATAAGCTCAATAATGCTATGCAATAACATTATTTAGGTGGAACATGACAAGATATTGAGGAGTAGGTTGCCTTGTGTTTTGAATTTGAGCTTCCCTTGCAAAATGAAAACTCATAAAATGTGAATACAGAGCAAAGTATCATTTCACTAATCACACAGTACTTTTAATAACTCCTTCCATCTTTTTAAAAAAGTAGTAGATGTGTGTTGAGAGCACATATGTTAACCAATGGTCAAATTCCAGAGACTATGTATACACACACACTGGAGAAGGAAAAATGCTAGGTTCGTCAATATTCTCTCATTTGGACAGAAAGTAATACTCTATGCCACATGGAGAGGGATCCAAGAGCTCTTTCACATTACACAAATACAGCATGATGATTCTACTTAACCTACCCAATGAATTCTGTACCTTTTACAGAATCTTGAGGTTTAGAATTTGGTGGGGCACTAGAGTCCTCTGGCTCAGAAGTCTCAAAACCCCTTCCTACATTATAAATCCCACGATTCCATGTTGCCAAGACAGTAAAAGTAGAATCAAGATACTTGCCATTGGTACCTAAGATTTCACCTGTCTGCATCCAACAAAATATGTCATCTGTAGAAATCTTCTAGATCATCCAGGTGATTCTATAGAATGCTTTTTCCAGGACTCACCGTAGAGTCATACTAGAGAACTTAGCAAATTCCTAGTGAGGATACCATTCTAGCAATTTTGTAAGTCCTCTAGCACAACTCTATGGTAACTTCTGGCAGAAGTCATTCATTTCAGTAGACTTCACTATTATGAAGTTTCTGGCATCCATGGTAAATTCAGGGACATATCCTCTGTGAATATGAGTATTATTCTGTATGTCCACAGAATGAAAGGACCCAGAACTTCTAACATAGCACTCAGTTATAGTAATGTTATAATTGAGGACTGGACATTTCTATAACTTAAGTGGGGAAAAGTGCAAAAGCAGACGTAAATGCATGAGTATATTATTTAGGGATGGAAAAGCAAAGAGGATGAATACTTATGCAACCAACAAAGACAGACAGAAAGACAGAGACAGTAAAAACATGTAGGCTTTTTTGTATAGGAAGCAAAAAAGGAATGATTTACACTTCCAAAATAATAACCCATGTATCAAAGAAATGAGTTTTAGCTTCCTTAATAAACTAAACAATGAAACTATTTTATAACACATTGCTGAGTTTAGTTTTAGGACACAATTTCAGGCTGAGAATTTAAGCTATAAAAATCTCAGCAGTACTTACTTCAAAAGTTTTCCAAAACAAAACAAATAAATGGAATGTTTTGATATTGTATGCATTTCTTGGTAGTATTGTTACATAAGCATGTTCTGACACAAGAATATTTCTTGTTTTATTATAAACAGAGTCAGATAATGTGCCAGAAGCATTGAAAGTGTCATCTAAGAAGACCATGAAAGTCCTTAGACAAGTAAAATAATCCATTAGCAATCTTTTTCTTAATATGCAGCTAGTAGAGTACCAAATACTGATGATTTCACTTTGTTTGGAAAACATTTTATTTTTCTACACTTTTCTGAAAACATCTTGAAAAAAATGTTAATTTTTCACAGCTACAGGGGAAGAAAAGAACTCTTTCTCCTTGCTAACAAACATACAACACACTCCCTCCTTGAGTAACCATCTTTCTTCTTTGTGGTGTTTGTGAAATATGCACCTCATGTAGTTTCTTGGGGCTGTTGCGGATGTTTCAGATTCTTTGTAAAAAGCTCTGAAATCAAGGGGCTTCAACGCCGCTCACCCTCCCAAGATATAACGTGGTGGTCTGGGTTGGAGCCTCAGTTCCTTTTTTTGCCACAAAGAAGTATGTTTGGATCTTTTTAGCTCTATCGTTATTTCAAATTTTATTTGCTGGCCACCAGTAGGGACATTACGGGCTACCCCCTCTTTCTCCCATTTCCACATGCATTGGGAGCCCAGAATATGCTTTCTAATCAGCTCTGGTTTCACCTGTTTCCCTACACTTCAGCAATGGTTCACAGATGAAGCAACACGGGTAAGAGGCAAAAGTCCCTTACATTGTATGATGAGATCCCTGTTGCTTCATCAATTAACTGTGTTATAAGTGTGTGGAAATGGGGAGAGGGTGATCTTGCATTTGTGGAGGTCCTTAGATACCCACCTTAACATAGTCAGGCTGTTTGAGTGTGTCAGGGAGGCTGAGATTAACGCCATTAGGAGACTAGACTCCGTAAGAGTCCAGAGTGATCAAAGTAGAGAGACACCAGACTGGCTGCATCAGCAAAAGAGAACAAAACATTGTTGGATAATTTAGTCAAGGATCAAGAAATGAAGCAGGAGAACAACTTATCTAATTTAGTGAAGACAACAATTCAGTGAAACCAACCTGGAAAGGCCATTATGAAGGACCTATGCAGAGCCCCAAAGTACAGAGATATTATCAATAAGTATCAGAAACATCTTTACCATAATATTCTCATTTTCTGGAAAACTTGAAAGTGAAGCAAACTGACAGGAAGAAAATCAACTCATTTTCTGAGGAAAATTCTACAGATATCATGGACCATGAAAAAGACAAATAAATAGGCCTCAAAGCAGATGAAGTTGAATTCTCACAAGAAGACACAATGGGTAAACAAAGAATATGAGAAATGGTAGGTTACATACCTGTGACCATCTTTCTTCGAGTGGTGCTCTGCGAATTCACACTTGTGGAGAGACTGCGCCTGCGCGGGCTCCAACGGAAACTTCTACAATTTAAAACTTTTCAAGTTTTGGCGGTAACCCCGCCCAGCCCCGGCAGGGGATAAAAGGGCGCCCCGCGCACACCGATCCAATTCCTACGCCGCCACGGTAGCGAGAAATTGGAGGTTTGCTTAGAGGGGAGGCTGGGCGAGTTAGTGTGAATTCGCAGAGCACCACTCGAAGAAAGATGGTCACAGGTATGTAACCTACCATTTTTCTTCGTGGTCTCTGCGAATGCACACTTGTGGAGACTAGCAAGCTCAGGTCCCGGAGGCGGGAAGAAGGCAAACCGACTATTCAAGTCAAGGGCCAAACAATTTTATTAAGTGCAAACAGTTACCAACAAAGGATTGTAAACACTTCCGAAGAAGGGCACAGTACATGAATTTTATGGGAGTACGTGATCCTCCCGGTCACGTGAGAGTGACCAATCTACAGTGAAAGACACTCAGTAAGTGAGGGCATTCTTAAACGATTAGCATAAACTTGTGACCCTTGGAAACAAGAACACAGTCATTGTAAGGACACTCATTGCAATGAGGGCACATTAAGTAGTTACACAAAAACAGTATTATCAGCAAGTGCAAAACACATTTGTAAGAAACAAGGTGTCGATAGTGACACAAAGTACTACCCGTAACGAGCCCATTAGGCTATAGTGCAGAATTGCCTGCGCCTCAG